GAAAAGTAATTACAACATTAAGAAGAAACAGAAGAGAGGATCAGAATTAGAGAGAGAAGGGGTCAAAAAGGGAAGGGAGAAGAAGAGGGAGAAAAAGGAAAGGAAAAGAAATTATAAAGGACAGAAACAGGACATAGAGAAACAGGGAAAACGTACAAGACACAGAGATAATGGGTGAAAACTTAATTGAAAGGGGGATTCTGCAAGGGTACATAAGATAGTATTGTTATATTAGAAATAGAAATGAACTTTGAAAATATGAAACAAGCGTGATTAAAATGATAGATAAAATACTCATTGTAATGTAATGGAATGTTTAATAAATAAATGAAATAAAGAGAATGAGAGAATTAAATTAGGAATGGAGGGGAACATTTTAATTATTATAAATGTGTTATAAAAATTTAAGTGAAGAGGAATATGAAAGAAACATGAAAAAATTATGGAAATATTATAAGTGTTCCTAGAAGTATGATATCTTATTGAAAAGAAATGTTAAAGATGTCAAAGATTATAACTAACGTTAATGATAGAGCTGAATTGGAATAGAATAAGTATTTTATTTATTATTGTTATATATATATTTTCTCTTTAAGAACTTAGTGCGTATTTTAAGAATGTACCAAGCAGAATTCGACTGGAAGTTATATGTTATATTCAATTATATTTGTAAAGGCATAAATTGAAGTTTAAATAAGAGCGGAATGGATAAAAATTAAAAGATGCAAAGGTGTCATACTCCAATTAGTAACTACAGGGAAAATTTTGTTTAATGAGAAAAGAAAATATGAAATTGAAACAGGACAAAAGTATAAATATGATGACTAGAAAGGTATTGAAACTTAGAAAAAGATATATATATAATTGAATTCAGAAAGGAATGAGATAATTAAAAGTAAGATTGAGAAAACTAAGGGAAGGGAAAAATTATTGAGAAAATGTTAAAATAGTAATAAGATATGGAATAGAACACAAAGATGAATATGAAATTGAATTTGTGTCTGTATGGAGAAGTGATAGCCCTGGACCATGCTATTCTCAAAAAAAAAAAAAAGAAATTTTACTTGTATTATGTTTTGTGAAAACCCAAATAAGATTTTTATAATAAAAAAAAGAACATGGGGACCTGCGGTGGCTGCCAATTCACTCATTTCAGTGCAGTGCTATGTGATGTGATTGGGGAATGAAGACGGTTTGGTTAGAGCAGAACTGTTAAACTCCCGGCCATGGACCAGATATGTCACGCACTGGCCACACCCATGTCTGGTTTAGCGAAGGGAGGGGGAAATCCCAATACGTCATGTGACACCACCATGATGACATGAGCTTGTCACCTCTCATGAGGAATGGAATTGGATGATTATAAGAGGAATGTTAGAGGAATGGAATTGGATGATTATAAGAAAGCTGACATTGACATAATGTTAGGTGAGGATCCCTTTGAGGCCAAGGATTTAAGACACGGAATTTGGAGGTAAGGATGAAGATTAGAATAGTGGTAGGCAGAAGGAATTACAGTAGGAAATGGAATTGGGCTGTTTTATTCAAACCAGTTCCCACTTTCAGTCACCTGAACTCAGCTCAGGAACTTGTTGGAAATCTTTGTATCAGTGGTGGGATTCAAATTTTTTTACTACTGGTTCTGTGGGCGTGGCTTGGTGGGCGTGGCAGGGGAAGGATACTGTAAAATCTCCAGTCAGAGGTGGTATTTGCAGGTTCTCTGAACTACTTAAAATTTTCGCTACCGGTTCTCCAGAACAGGTCAGAACTTGTATTATACTGTACTATAATGTTTCCAGCACTTGGCAACTGAGATTTCATCGCATGGGTGCAAACTGCATTACCACTGAATTTTCAACTGAAAATGAGAAGCAGCCTGCAACTTCCTTAAATGGTTTAGAGACAATTATGACTATTTCTCAGGGCCATTTGATTATTCAGTGAAAAAAAAAACTGGATGGAATGGATTACTGGGTGATCATGAGGGCTTAGCAATTTCCTTCATGCCAAACCTTCAGAAAAGAACTTCAACTCTGGTTTGAGCTAAACCTGTGTTTTAATATTTCATTAATTGCTTCAAAACATTTTAAAATTTGAGGTTTGTGGATTTGTAATAGCTTAATGATGTTGGTCCAACATTTATTATAAAGATGGTTATTAGGAAAGAGGTAAAAACCAAGCTTTTGATATTGTTATGCTATTACAGAAAATTGTGTGGCCACTCTTGGAATACAATATTGTTTTCTGTTCTGATATTTGCACCTTAGAAAAGATATTGTCAGGAAAGATTGTGTTCTGACCCAGGCTTCGTAAATCGTAAATAATCACAAACTTGATTTAAAAGCAAAACCTATTTTATTGCAATGCTGGGAATTGTTTTCATTCTCAGCCAGAACTAATCTTAAACAGTCCCCCAGGATAAGCACACACCTTTCATTTCTGTGAAATGCTGCCAAAAACAGAAGTATTTATTAACTATAAAAGAAATCAACCGAAGTACAAGAAAAAACCAACCAAAGTACACAGAACTTCAAGGAGGACTCGGAACCGATCGAATTACCTTGCTTCCTGCAAAGGTTTCATCATTTAGGCCTGACTTTTATCCCTTATGGGAGGGGCAATCACCTCCCAGCCTTACTCCCGAGTCGCCCCTTTTGTTTCAGCTGCTCTCATCTTCTAGCAGCTCTGCGCACACGCATACTGGCAACAGGCTCCCCTGAGTCCTCTGCCTCGCTGCTGCCAGACTCTGAAGGCTCCAGAGGCAGCACTCCACTCCCAGATGGTCCTGGCCCCATCCCTGCATTGGACGCAGGACCCTCGTCCGAGTCCTCTCTAGACTCCCTGACTGGTCCCCTTTCTTCCCCACTGTCCAATTCTGCTGCTGTCTGTACCAGCTGCTGGCGAACCACAACAGATTGCTGGGGGAAAAAACCCAATCTCTTTAACAAAATAAGATTTTGTGGGCATATAGATTCTTCTGAGGGCATGAAGTCTTCTATTAAAATAAGAACAGATTTCTTTTCAATTTTTTAAAAAATGCGGTCAGTAATTTGTGGACATATTTGGCCCTTGTTTAGGAATGTATCCTGCCAAATACAGACAGATAGGCCTAAAGGATTATTTACAAACTTGGGAACATTGAAACTAACTGTTCATATGATCTACTATTCATGGCCATTTTTAATTACCAAGTCATTGTTCACCCTGCATCACACAGATTTTCTCCATGACAACCTGGTCTTTCAAGTTTTCCAATGGTGCACTCCTTACCATTGTAATCCACCTTATTATTAATAGCTAATGGTTGTGAAAAACCCCAATACTGTAAAGATACAGGCATTATGTTGACTTATGTTGACACCGCAACTGTTATAAATACATGCCAGTTGCCAAGGATCTGAATTTTGATCACATAACTAAGGGGGTACTGCAACAGTTGTAAGTGTGAAAAATGATCATAAGTTCCTTTCTGGTCTGTCTAAGCCAGTGGTAGTCAACCTGGTCCCTACCGCCCACTAGTGGGCATTCCAGCTTTCATGGTGGGCGGTAGGGGTTTTGTCCCCTACTTTATAAATCACCATTACTGTGGAACCGGTGGGCAGTTAGAGAAAAAATTTCTACTAACAGAGATACCGAAGTGGGTGGTAGGTATAAAAAGGTTGACTACCCCTGGTCTAAGCAGTTTATTCCTAAACTAATGCTCTGTTATATGTTGAAATTTTAACGTGCTACAGGTACGTTAGTCCTTGAGTTATAGAAATGTAATGTAACTGTTGTAAGTCAAGGACTACATGTACTGGGAAATCAGACAAGGATAAATTGTGCTTCTTGAATTTCTGGTTTATTTGTTTGCTTGCTTAAATAGTGCCTGAAACATTAGGGCGGGAGGAATGTCTTCATCAGATGACATTTAGTGTACACAACACCTCCTGAATTCACTGTAATGTGAACTCTCCCATCATTAAAAAGTCACTCCAACGGCTATATCTTAAGTTCTCTCTTTCCCAATCAAAGTGTGAAATAAATTGAGTAAGATAAATGATATACAAACCCCATCAACAAAAAAAGAAGCACTGAAATCAACATTAGCAATTATTACTAGCAAAGCTGCACAGGCTTTATTGGATTTAAACAATGGCAAACACAGCTGGCTCACAGAAACTGGAGCTTTTCTAACCTAAGTCCAAAAGTCTGTGGGTGGCTTGTTTTCAGCAGTTCCTGCCACTTTGAATTTAATTTAGTTTCATGCTCCATGTTTTCCACATTTAAGGAAAAGGTTTTTCTCCTCTCTCGCCAACCCCCTTTGTTGTTGTTGTTGTTGTTGTTGTTGTTGTTGTTGTTGTTGTTGTTGTTGTTGTTGTTGTTGTGAGATTATGAGAAGGGCTTGTTCTGGCTATGCCACTGCAAAGTAGCAGGAGGAATCACCAGGGAACCAGTGAGATTTCCTGCTGATGCTCACTGGGTCTTGCCCGCTCTGTTTAACGGGGAGAAACCATGCCAGATTCAAATGATACTTTTAAGGATGAGGCAGGAACCCATCTGGTTTAGAAACCGAGAGAGTAGTGACAAAACTGAATATCTATTTCAAAGCAACTCTTGCTCTAAACGAAGCTCTGTCTCAGAATTACTGCAGGGGCTGAAAAAGAAAGCTGAGGGAATGAAGGTAACAAGGTCCAGCTAAATTGTGGCTAAAGAGAATGCCTTCTCTGAAGAATTAAGGAAAGAAAAAACCCCAGCAAAATTTATTTAGATTAATATGCACTTTACATCTGAAACACAGACTGGCCTGGAACATAAATTAAATTCTAAGAAAACCAGGAGCACACAAGGGGAAGACAGTGTCTTATCAACATGAGCGTGTGAGTGTGGATGTGCATGCACACATTCCTTTTTGAAGAAAAATATCCTAAGAGGTAAAACAGGTATGTGAAGTAGTAAATATGCAGACTGTACAAGCTGAATGAAGGATAATTAACTTGATGGAGTCGGGTGATGTAGAATTAAAGATGGCAAGAGACAAATTAGAGTGCACCCATTCCAGTCACCTCAGACGTCAGCCTAGAAGAAAGATACATACAGATGAAAAACAGCAGGAGTATTTGCAGTTTATGAGGAAGAAATCAAAAGACTTGTGTTTTATCCACCATTCTCCATCCTTCATATAGTGAGTTGTAGTGGTTGTGTATGTCCATTCCTATTGTGTTCAAGTGCTGGTGCCCTATCAAAAGATCTGGCAATGCTCTAAACACAATGGAAATGGGCAGAATCTCAATACTTCAATTACAAATAGTCATATTCCTTGGAATAGTAGTCCTCCACTTACAACAGTTCATTTAGTGACAATTCAAAGTTACAACATCTCTGAAAAAAAGTGACTTATGACCATTTTTCATACTTACAACCGTTGCAGCACCCCCTTAGTCATATGATTAAAATTTGGACGTTTGGCAACTGGTTCATATTTATGATGGATGCAATGTCCCAGGGTCCTGTGATCCCCTTTTGCGACCTTCTTACAAGCAAAGTCAATGGGGAAGCCAGGTTCACTTAACAACCGGGCTACTAACTTAACAGCTGCAGTGATTCACTTAACAGCTGTGGCAAGAAAGGTCGTAAAGTGGAGCAAAACTCACTTAGCAACAGAAATGTTGAGCTCTATTATGGTCATAAGTCGAGGACTACCCATATTACATTACAATCTTTAACTATCCTAGAACTTTGGGAAAAATCCAATAGTCAAAATTACCAAATCTAGTGAGAACTTTTTGAGAGAGGATGTTTAAAATGATAGTATTAGGCAATACTGATTATTTATATCCCATTTAAAAACTGTATCAAGACCTGTTTTTACTGTGGAACGATGCTGGCCAGTCTTTTTAGTAGTTGCACTACTATATGAATGTTCAAGAGGATGAAGGACCTCAATGAATATGACAATAGCGCCACATTTGCTAAAATTGTCCCAATGTCCTCTGTAATGCCTATCCCTTCCGAGCGTTGACATTTTTGGCCATATTACCAAGATTGGGGACAATGGGCATCTTGCCTGCTTCACCTGGGTAAAGTTCTACTTTACCATGCAAATGCTATGCATTCTCCAGCTTCTGCTTAACTGAAAAACAAGGCTTAATGTAGCATCATAGGACACATTCGTTATCCTTTTTTTCCTATCCAGATATGGTGCCAGGGGTGTCAAACTCGATTTCATTGAGGGCCGCATCAGGATTGTGTTTGACCTTGGGGGGCCAGGGTATGTGTGACCAGGGTGGGCACGGCCAGCTCAACGTCACTCGTGTCAGGGGAACCTGGTGGCCCAAGTGCTTTGCCAATGAAAACGGGCTCCCAAGCTCCATTTTAGGCTGTGTCAGCCTCTTGAAACCCTCTGCCAGTGAAAACAGAGCTGTGGAGGGCCTCCTGCAGCACTCCTGAGCTCTGTTTTCACTGGCAGAGGCACCGCAGGCCAGTTCTTCACTGTTTCTAGGGTGGCTCCGTGGGCCAGATCTAAGTACCCTGTGGGCCAGATCTGGCCCCGGGCCTTGAGTTTGACACCCCTGAGATATGCATGCCACAGTTTCTCCATCATGGAAAATAATTAATGGTATTGATATTAGTCTTGTATATTAACAGATTATTGTATCTTGCCTTTCTGCTATGACAAGCAATTTTATTTAATCTTGCTATTAGCAGATTGTCTTTTATTATTTTAAGTTTTTGCTTTAATACCTAGAAAGGAAAAAATACAGAAACAAATGAAAAATAAACACATAGGGAAAAGAAAAAGAGAAAGGAAACATAAAAAAGTTCAGCTTTAAGCACAGCATTAAACTTGACTGCATAGTAATATTGATTATTCTTTCCATTATGCTGATAAGCAATTAAACACAATCAATCTAAGACTGTAAATCGGGGAATCTCTTTCCAACGTAATCTTGCTCACTAAAACCAAATAATGCATAAAATGATACATTTGAAATCTGGATACATAATTGAATTAGCATTCACATCTTTCAACAATAGTACTCTTCCCAAAAACATATTAATAAACATATAAACCAGAATGGCAGCTCAAGTCACATCATATAAATTAGGGTGCCCCCATCATTTGATACTCCAGCATAATAAATAATAAACTATATCTGAAGTATCCAATAAACATGAAAAACATTTTTGCTACATTAATCATATTTCATGATTAAGAGTAACATTTGCAATATTCTTTGAATCCCTTAATCATTGGTTTAAAATGGGTTTTCCAACACTGTTCCAAAGTTCTTGCAAATAGAAATTTGCAATTCAACTGTCAGTATGGCTCATAAGAAAACTTTTATCAAGGGCACTACAACATAAAACATTGCCAAGCAAAATTATGTGCATATTTTTTAATTTACAGAAGTGTTTTGAGTTGAACACATTCAAATAAATTTAATATCAAATAAGCATATTATTTGATATATGACAGCAAAAATGCTATTAAAAATAATGACTTATAATAGTCATTATTTATAATGGTTATAGTATCTAAAAAACTAATAATTTGATAACCTAGAATTAGTATAATCAACATTTATGATGATGGGAAATACACTTTTGGGAAGGAAAATATTGCTTAAAGCTTATTGTGTTTTGTATATGAAAACATTTAGTTTTCAAAGTTAAATTTATGGTACTAATTCCTCAGAAATGCTTATGCTATTCTCTTAATTGCTAAGACCAGAAGCCAAAAAGATAAGTTTATCAGATTTTTCTCTTATCTACAGTATATAGACTAGTTACTAATAAACTTGCTATGAAAAATAGCTGTTTTAACTTTGAGGTTAATGATTTTTTTATTTGTGAAAAAATATTGTTAAAATGAAAAGAATTTGACATATCTGGCTAAGTAAAATGACGAATTAAGCAAAAATAATAGCTATAAACCGGAAATTAAGAAAAGGAGAGCAGTATTTGATTTAATGCAATTAACTGAATAATCTGATAATTTACTGAAATCGTGCGCAATGTCAATCAAAATGGTGGTGTTACATTAGCCAGGAGACATACAATGTTAATAAAGAGTAGTAGTTTGGCTGCCTAAGACTGTTTGGTTACCCCATTTGGTTCACACTTGCATGCTTTCCAAAATAGACCACAGAGGGCAACTAGCTCTGCATCATATTTAACAGAAATAGATTTCTAAAGAAATTGACTTACTGGAAATTCTGTGATGCAGTGGAAATGAGCATGCTATGAGTATTGTAGCCACTTGGGCATACTTAACCATTTATGAACAAGTGGATGAAGATAAGAATGAGGGTCTAAGGTGGAAATCACCTGGCGTTGATGAGGTATTGAGCAAGGCTGATGTTAGCTGGGGTTCCTGTGATGGTGATCTGACGCTCTGAGGAGCCTTCTGTGGCATTGGCGATTTTGATCTGGGCTCCAGACATCTGCCTGATTTCATTAATTTTGGTCCCTTGGCGTCCAATTATGCAGCCTATTAACTAGGAAAAGAGATATTAGGACTTTCTTAAACTAACTCTTATGGTATTAAGAATTGTGAACAACAAATAGCACAAAACTGACCAGAAACCTCAGTATTAGTTTCTCTTGTTTTGTTACTAACAAGCTGTGACTATGCTCTTTCCTATATCACAGGGAGATTTTCAAACTACTGGTTTTTTTTTACCACTGCCCAACTATAACTATGGAAATATCACTAATGGAGATTGGAGCTGCACGGCCTCTTTGATAGTTGGAGAAAGCTATGAATTATTAAGCAGAAATATTCCTAGATGTTTCCTTATTTAAAATGTATTTCTAACTGCAAAGGGACGCTTTGTTGTGATGGAATATAGCACATATAGAACATATATGAAATACAGGCATTCCTATATAGAAACTGAAACACTGTATATCATTATTTTTAATCATTATTCTGCCTTTTTATAGCGGTGAACATACTGTACCTAATATTCCTGTCTCCTATGACTGATTAGGGATTACATTGCTCCACAATGGAGCACTGAATATTCCCAGAATAACACCCCCTCCCCCACTGCAATCAGTCTCATGCCCCATTTTGCCTGTGTCATAGCATACAGATGGTAATGGGCAGCCTTAGGTGAGGCCTGAAGGATCTCTCCATTTTGTTGTTCTACAAAACAATCCCAAAGAGTGTTTGTTTTGCAGGCCCAGGCTTTATCCTAGCTCTCTCCTGGTTTCTGTCACCTTCTTACAGAAGGTGTAGAGAGAAGGTGAAGAGTTCTGACAAGTCTTTTTTCTCCTCCCTATGTGCTCAGAGTGGTGTGGGGGCTTCTGCTGTGAGGAAGCAGCTGAGACAGGAGGGCCTATTAGTTGCTTAGTCCATGTTCAATGGAATGACTACTGGGCTTCTTTCTCTTCTTGAAGTGTTTGGCCTGGAGCTGAAGTGAGTCAGTGGTCACAAGCAAAACTGAGAAGATTAATAATTCTACTATAAAACAACTAGGATTATATATTTAATAATATAAATAATAACAGTAAACATCCAACCATCCTACATATAATCATAAATGTTTAGGTGTAAAAATAAGCAGAGAAAGGATGGAAAGTGAAAGCCAAGCCAAAACTTTCTTAATGGGCAAATTAAAAAAAACAACTGACCAAACAAAAGACTTTTCAAGTTAGGACTCAAATATAGTGACATCCATTAAAATTTCATAAAATATTAAATAGAAGTATTGCTCTTCAGAAATTGTTTTAAACATTTGCTTTCTCTTTTTCTAAAACTTAATTAACTGGATTTATGGAATGTGAGAATTGCCAGTGACAAAGAATTGTGGGGTCTATAGTCCAAAATTATCTATTGGCACCGGAGAAGCAATCTTCAAGACCAATATCAACTTCTTATCTATTTTACAATTTGTAACAAGTAGTCCTCAATTGGTTGCTTGTTGACTGATCAATGTTATGATGGATTTGGAAAAAGTTACTTACACTCTACACCACCCCATGGTTATTTGATTGCACTTTTGCTGCTTGGTAACTAGCTCACATTTATGATCCTGTGATTGTGTTTTGCAAAGGTTTTTTTTTTGGGGGGGGGGGGCATTTTCTGACCAAAAAAGGGGCAAAAAATGCCTACTGGATAAAGCAGAAAATGCCTATTGAATAAGCTGGATTCAGATTTAGGACCATTTGATTTGTTAATTTGCTTAATGACTATCATAAAAACAGCAATAAAATCAAGCCCAGTTACATGGTCATCACAATGACTTATGACCAAAATTTCAGGCTCAATTGTGGAAATTATAAGTTGAGGACTACCTGTAGATAGATACAGGAGACAGAAAGAGAAAGAGAGACAGAGGCAGACAGACAACCCTGACAGAACAAGTGGATTTTAAGAAAAAGCAAATTGCATCTAAATTGTAGATTTTCTTGAGCTGTGTAATATCAGACCTACTGAAGAAAAAAATGCATATTTGTACTTCTGCAATTTCAGTGAACATTTTGAATTTCTAGTTAGAGTCAATTAGAACGGAAATAAGCTGTATTTGGTGAACATTAGTATGAAATAAGCTGTATTTGGTGAACATTTGCTCATTAGTATCTTATAATGTAGAATTTTTGACACGAAGGAATTAAGTATCAATTAAATCTTCTGGACTGATAGGTGCCCTGGAATCTTATGGTTGTATATCAGTAGCTAGGAAGCCCAAACTGTTATGAGAAAATTGAACAATATTTATGGAACATCGTTCTTGGATTTAGTCATCCCTAGATGGAGGTTCTTTGCTTTCCAAAAAAATCTGTTTGCATATTCTTCCTTTCTACTCTACTTTGGATTAAATTACATTGATGTGGGATACAGTGAATGAACCTGCTGACCTTCTTTTGAATAGATGCCTTGATCTAGTGCATTTGTTAGAATTATAACTGCTACTTGAGAAACTCTGCGATAGGGAGATTGTTCTTATTGTAATAATCTATTCATTCTGGACTTCATCTGAGTAGACTCACAGTGGCACTGTGGCTTGCCATCCTGTATTGCAAACTATTATTTTATAGGCTTATAAGACACCTATTTCAAATCAAATGACAACTAGAGAAACTCACAACTATTGAAGTTTCAAACTCAAGAATACTTTAAATTGGGTCTATTCTGGAAGTTAATTATACTCATTCTGTGGAAATCTTCTCTATCACTTCATTATCGTTATCATTAGGAGCTGTGGTGGCGCAGTGGTTAGAATACAGTATTGCAAGCTGACTTCACCCATTGCCTGGAGTTTGATCCTGACAGGGCTCAAGGTTGATTCAATCTTCCGAGGCTGATAAAAGGAGGACCCAGATTGTTGGAAGCAATATGCTGATTCTGTAAATTGCTTAGAGCGTGCTGTAAAGCATCTGAAGTGCTATATAAGTCTAAGTGCTAAATACTAGTGCTATCAGTGCTTTTACATTGTGAAGGATGGCTGTTTCTTTAAATTGCTAATCTTTTCACACATCCCGAACCAATTGCCTGTCCATTTTGATAGCTACTGGCTTCATGGCTAAGGCAAGAGTAGAACTCATTTCATAAATTAATGCAGGATAAATTAAGCTACTTAAACACTGCAAGAAAATACCCAAGCCATTTTCATGTCTATTTCTTCTGATACATATCATTCTAGGCTAAATCTAGAATATATAATTCTATTGTACATGTGATAATATTCATCTTCATTTCTCTATATAGATGCCCTAATTTAGAACATAGAGATGTACATTATTTTTTATACATTATTTTTATATACATTTATATTTTTATACATTATTTTGGCTACTGTTAATGGAACAATGGTTTATAACAGTTACAAATTTTAACTTTTAAAACAATTTGAAATACATACAATCATTTTACATAGAAATAGAAAAGAGCCATTCATTCTAAAACAATAACAATTATACCTTAGAATGGATACTTTTTTTTTTCACTTCTAACCTATAAAAATTAAATAGATTACATCAGTCTATCCCACCCAGCCAGAAAGGGAAGATATGTTGCAGCTAAAGAAATCCAACTGGTGGAATCCAGGAAGAGAGCCTTCTTTGCCCTTGCCCCCCACCTCCTGCCCAATGGAATAGTCTCCCCCCATCTCCCCCCATTTCATGGCCTTATGAAAAGAAGTTAAAATATGGCTCTGCAGCCTCATGTGGGGAGTCCAGAGGTGTAAGCAGCTGTGGGCCTCACTGAGAACCCTTCCTCTATCTTTTATTTAATTTTAACAAAGTTTTTATCATCCTCTCTCTCTAAATTTTTTTAACTTAATATATTGTTTTTATATTTTAATACTTTGTTGTACACTGTCCAGACTCCCAACCTGAGAGAAATGGGCAGTTCAGGAATGTGAGAAAAAAACAAACAAACACAATCGAGTTTTTGAAAAACTTAGTAGGAGAACAAATTTTCATTAGTAATTCCAAAAGAAGTATAATATATTTGATTTCTTTTTTAAACCAGTGGTTTGAGTTGCTTTGCCTATTTATGTCTGAAATGTGGGACTATGACATTTACATGAACACCATTCCAATGAAAAAGAACTATTCTAATATAAGAGTACTCAGACATACAACAGATCCTTCCATCACAAAAGAAGGACCATAATGAGACGGATCAGGATTGAGATGGATGAGGAAAACAATTTCCTTCTCATATGGTAGCATGGCAGGTTTTAGATATCCAGCTGAAAGTGGCAGATCTTTCAAAATGGAGTCCTTGATTCAAGCAAAAAATGCTGTTGTTTATCAGGAATGTTAACCAAGCAAATTTTCCACATACCACGAAAGTTACCAAAAGCTTTGTTTTATTTCTCAGTTTAATAGCTTTATGTACCCACAAATAAAATTGCATGCCTAAAGTCAATGAAGAGGCTTTTTTGATACCATGTCACAATGAGAAGTCACTGTTGGCTACATACATTTATCGAAAGATAAGCAGAACACGAGATGCGATACTCACATCATTGGGAATGGTGAGTTCATGAGTACTGGCCGGGGGATTGGCATCCAAACCTGAGCATATGTAAGAGAAAATGGACATTGCTTGAGGAGAAAGTATTGCACTTTTGATGGCATTTCACCAAAATAGCAGATCTTGTGGATTTCCAGACTGCACTAGAGCCAAAGAATAAGGAAGGATGAAGGTTTCAATAAATAACAGATAAAAAAAAAATGGAGCTCTGAAAGCAGTTGCTGTAATATTTCATTAGATGGCAATTCAATAGATTTTAATGCAGTGATGTGTTCCTTGAATGCTGATATCCTCACCTCATTTTTTTGCCTTTTGGAATAAACAAGCTGGCCTATACTGCATTTTCTGTTTTCAGTGTTCAAAATGTCACTATTGGTTGATGAAATAAAAGATAAAGCTGCTTAGAAACATTGGGGAGAACTTGTGGCTATTTAGGAGGCAAACTATGATACAGTGGTTATTTTAAAGCATGCCTCCCAAAAGGATGAATTAATATCCTCTATGGTATTCATTGTATATGGATGCCACTTGCAAGGAAGAGGAATACTGTATTTTAAACCCAGTTCTGGTGAAATAATGGAGTTTTATAGCAAAATTACATTGAATTATATAGCATGAATGACAGACATATTTTGGAAGTAGGGAAATGGAATTTCTTATGCTCTTGAGAATTAATAGCAAGGATTACTTATATATTTTTTGCAAAGCATGAAAACAAATTATTATAGGCAGTAAATCCACAATAGAATGAATGTTTTTACCTGTTTAGATAACATATTCTTTGTACTGAAATTATAGAGATCCAAAGAGAAATGTGGACTTCAGCCAATAAACTGTAGACATCATAATCTGTTTTCTAAAACTGTGTTTTTTAAAATATACAGTAATACTGGAACTGTACTGGAACTGTAGTGCTACAGTTAATAATTTATGGTTCCACATAATTCCCACAGGAACATATTGTAAAATAAATGTTTCAGAGTGAAAAGCAATGACCTAATCACTTGTTAATGTAGCCTAAATAGTTACATGCCCAAAACTCAAGTACTATTTATTTATATATATATATATATATATATATATATATATATATATATATATATATATATATATATATATATATATATATATATATTTCAAAATTCTACCTTTATCACTTTATTTTAACTAATAAAGTCACCCAGCCAAGTTTTCATGTCTACAGTGGGACTAGAATTCACTGTCTTAAAATCTAATAAAAAGTGACTGATCATGAAACCTAGGAATTCTGCTTTTTAATAAGAGCCACAGAACGACAGTAGTTTGTCCAAGTATAAGAGTGAACACTATTCTAAAAACTTCGTTATGACAGTACATAAAAATTTGGGCAGCCTGTTGGGCAACCTTTAATGGAACAGTATGTACAATATATGGCTTTCTGAAATCAATACAACTCCAAGACAAAGAATGAAAATACATTCTTAATCACCCTATAACTTACCATTTTTTAAAAATCTGTATTTTATATAGTAAACTTCTGGTACCTAAATTACTTCTTGTTAGAACTTTGCGTGCAATCTTAGCCATGTGAATAGATTGAGGATGCATATCTACATATGAATTAATCACAAGATTTCCATGGTGTAAGTACATGCAGTAATTTTTAAAAAAATCTAAATGAAGAAGTTCTTTGTTATGAATAATTCATAATATGCACAAATACAATATGTGAACAATCTTATGTGTACTTTATTAAAAAAACAGAGGATGTGTAAGATCTATAGTCTATGCAATATTCTGTAGTTATGAAACTTTCCAGATGAGACGATGAAGATTTGCTAGGCAAGACTTGGTATAACTCCAACTTCATGATCTCATTTTATTTATATTAAGTATTTATAAGCGTTGACAATGATAGTTTGCAGACTGACTCTCAGAGAAAGCACAGACATTTGGAAGTATGTTCCATTAAGACTAATAAGATTTACTTCCATGGAACTGAGCTGGGATCAATCTAAATATGTTTTTGTAATACTGCCCAGTAACGGAATCTGGTTTTGAGCCTCTTTTTGAATTGTTTGAAGGTAACATACTCCATGCTAGATGCTGAGAATTGTCAGCATAATACACAGTACTAACCAAAAACTAAAAAGAAAGGGTCAAGAGAGAAGCCATAGTCTGCTCTCCACTACCTAGGAAGAAATAAGCAGGAATACGAGAGAAGAGAGTCACTACGCAATCACCCAAACACCCATTCAGTCTGCTGAAACTTAGAAATGAAGCTTAGTAATGCTGAAGTCTGCACCCATGAATTTACAGATTTGATTTGTAAAGTTTTTTAACAAAGCCAATAAAAAATAGCTGTAAGGATTTTATGGAGTCTTGGGGCCTGATCTGATATATGTGAGGGTCTGAGTTTATTTTAAATTCATTTATTGATGGCTGAATTTATTTTCAAAGGTATTCCCTAGTTCCAGGAGAAATTATGGGAATAATTAAGAAATTATGGGAATGGACAGATTGAAAGAGAATGGGACATCACACACTATGCTGTGGTAAATATTGTGTTATCATAATAGCACAATACTATTAATGTCTTTCATTTGTAAGACTTTTGTATAGTTTTATAAAATAGTGATATCTTGATTATAGCATGGTACATTAAAAAATAAATATTTTTATACAGAAGTTTTTTTATATGGAGATTATTTTTTACTTTGCTAATAGTATCTAGCAAATGTCTTTTATTCAGATACAAACATACCAAAATCCAGAATCAAAGAATGAGCACAATGATTTTACTTGAACTTTTAATTTGTTACGGCTTCTGCTAAATCACAGTTTCCTTTAGAAAGAGTGTATGGAGTGCAATGGAAAGTGAAAGGATGCTGTTTACTCTGAGCCAAAATCTGGGGATGAAAGAAGAACAGTTTCAAAAGCTGAAGAGAGAGACATCAAGATGAAAGAGCTAAGGTCTAAAGAGGAGCCATGTTAACAGTGATGTGTCATTCTGCTGGAGAGTTATTCTGAAAAAGGGTTAGATTGTCTTAACTGCTGCCATTTTTTAATTGTAGGGTCATAACTATTATTGTGCTGTGTCTTGCCTCTTGAACATTAGTAAAACTATCCCATCAATATAATCAGAACAACTGCTTTATGTATCACTTTGGCAATGACAAAAAGAATTCTAAGACTGTATTTCCTGCATTTATTTTACCTGAGGATTGGCCCATCAGATTTTGAGCTTCTTCGGAGGAATGTAAGGGCAGCTTTTCTCCTGAAGAGCAAAGAAGAAATACATTTAATTTTTATTTTTTTTGCCTTCAAGGAGAGAAGCAATGTCACTTCATCTAGGAAGCTCAAAATATGATGAATAAAATGGCAGAAAAAGCAAGTTTTCGTTCAAATCAAATGCAATGCTATTAAAACATATGTTCAGTAACATATAATATCTGCCATTCCAGTTTTCTACAGAAACTACTCCCTTTTCCTGACATTTCCGAGTTTATCAGAAATGATTTTCAGAAAACTAGTTGAGATAAAAGACTGGCCTATTCTTAGTTTTCCATAAAAGCAGTGGTTCAAATGCTAAGCATTCATTAGTCATCTATATATCTTTGACTCCTAGTAGTATAACTTAGAATATCACAAACAATCAGGGACAAGTATGAAAAATTAACCTTTGCCTCTTAATGCAGAATGCATCCTTACCCCTGACTAAAGGATTGTTATGACATAGATGTCTTAGAGCAGATAATAGCAACACATAACTTGCAAATATATGTCCTGACCTTTTCTCAACTCTAGTATCTGCCTCTTGTCTTCTCTTAATATTTCCACTCCAACTACACATCCTATTTCTTTTAATTTAAGAAACCAAGCTTAGAAAAAGAGAGAACTGCATAGGTAAAAAGAGAAGGAAATCTGTAAAGGGAATTTGGGTACGTACCAGGGAAAGCAGGGGTGGTCTGTCCAAGGGGAGTAAAGGGGGTTTGCTGCATAGCCAACTGGTGGAGCTTGGTCAACTGCTGAGGGGTAGGAGGGATATTAGAACTAAGAAGGTTATTGTTATAGAATACAAGTCACACTGAAAACCAAGAACAAAATTATAATAGTAATGTTTTGAAGAAAGAAATCAGGAAGCCATGTGGAATCATGGCAACATACAGGTTGATAGAAGGACTTGGCCTGGGAAATTATAATTGGTCAAATTCCTGGCAGATGTGCTCAATCAGGATCTGAAACACAGCAGCCTAGTTTTGGCGTTGTGTCTTTCCAGATGAAATTGTACATATGTGTTCATCACAAAACCTGAACCAAGTGGAAGAATATATGGATATGAGATTACCATTTCCCAAGGAGGTGCTACTTGCATAGAGACTATCAGTGCTTCTGGAGCTGTAACCTGGAACTGGTAGTTTCTTCAAAATATTGAAAGTTTCATAACTAGGTAGATGACCCAATGAAAAGTCCAGTATGTGTTTTGGCCAAAATAGGTATGTATTTCAGATCCTGTTCATCCCTTCTTGTGCTTTTAGCATTAGACTTCTAATAACTCATTCACAAAGAGGAAGGCAATTCCAATATATTTTATGCCAAATTCATATTGTTATTCAAACACCAAAATAAAACAAATCTGTTTTTAAAACCATGCTTTGTAACAGCCTGAGGTAGTAGGATGATAATTAGATTCTGATGTCATTACAGAAACTCCCCTACAGCATAGTAATTGGCTGTGGGAAGTTCCCCTATAGCAGGACTTTCAAGCTCCTGGACCCTGCGTCATCCGCTGGCCACACCTATGCCCAGTTTAGCGAAAAGGGAAAAAGTCCCGATACATCACGTGATGCCGCCATGACGCTGTGAGTTTGACATCCCTGCCCTAAAGCCATCCAGACCAGCCAACTAAACTATGAGGTTCTGATCTTTTGAATTCAGAAGGGAAAAGATTAAAATAAAAAAAAAAACCAAACTCCTGCTCTTGTAGCATAACTGAGTGAAAGGGTGCAGGGAAGTCTGACATTGGTGTTATAACAGTTAGGTGAAGCATTGGAACTAGAATACCTGAGAGGCTGAAGAAGACAGAAAAGTTACAAGGAGTTTGAAAAGAAGAGCTTTTATTAGTCAGCCAAGAAGGCAAGCAAAACATGAGAAACAAATGGCATTGCAGAACCTGTGCTGAAATAACTTAACAGATTGGGGGTGGGCAGGAAAGAATCTAAAACAATTAAGTTTCTATATGAAGTACTCTGAATGACAATGTTATGTTTTTCAAAAGTGTGACATTCATTTCTCTCTATGCAACTTTTACTATCCCTAATCACAAATTGGATATTCTTTAGGTTAGTATACTGTGAACATGGAATTTTGGAACAAGTAAGGAAAAACAAATCAAGATTTGGTTACTGCTGCTTAACCAGAACATTGTCTGTAGAATCTTTCTGGCTTAATCAACAAATTATGGTTTTAATTTATAGTAAAGTGATGGGATATAGAACTTCTTTGCTGGAAGATTAAACTACACAATAAGTTTACACATCAGGCTAAGCCATAATGTGGTTACTTTACTTTAGTATGAAGTGTAAATAGAGACAGGAAGTAACACACAGCTGCCCTTCTGATTTCAGTTATGATTGTGTACATTGGAGGAAATACATAATTATGATCAAACCCACTGTGGGTAGGACGGGAAGATTTTGCTTTGCAAAAGCCAGCAACCCATATATGTAGGAATTTTAAAAGAAAACAAATCCATGGATGATTCAGTAGTGCTTCTTTCTTGTGGGTTTGTTTTGTTCAATAAAATATGTTCTTCATATCTTTTTTACGGGACTGTCTCAAATTTGGCATCACCCAATGAATATGATTCAGCCCTTTCTTCTTCTACAAGAAACTATATGTTCCACCAGGAAATTTGATAGGAGCGGATACAGAGGCAGGATTAAAGCTTGAAAAGCATAGAAACTTGGTCAGGAAGTTGTTGGTGGTCTAGCTGAATTTTTATTCATTATATGTGAGAAATTGGAATTGGTAAAGTACCAAATGACTGGAAAATAGCAGACATTCATGTCTACTAAAATGGGCAAAAGGAAAATCCAGCAAACTACAGACCACTCAGTCTGACACTAATATAAGGGAAAATCCCAGAGCAGATGCTGAAGATCTTGAAACATTTTCCCAGACTAATCTTATCTCATGTTTTAAACAAGAAGTTTCCTTAATAGATTGTGAGCATGCTGCAGACATAATACATCTTGTCGTCAACAAAGCATTGGTTAATTACTCAATGACATGCTAATCTAGTTAAGCATGGACTGAATGGCATGACATTTCGTAGCTGGTTCAAACTCAACCATGGCTTAAACTTAACCATGCAAGGAGTTAAAATGGTTAACTAGCTAAGCTAGTTAAACTTAACTATGGCTTAAAATTGCCAACTTAGCTAAGCATGACAGTTCATAGGTGACTCAAACTTCTTTAAAGAATGTTAATCAAAGAGTCCTTGTTAAATTGGAGAGAGGTATCAAATGGGGTGCATAAGGGTTAATTCTGTCTTCTATTCTTTGCTAATGATTTTATTAATGATTTGACTGCAGAGGTATAGAAACACTTATCTAATTTACAGATATAAACTTGGATGGAATAGTGAATATCCTAGAAGACTGAAATAAAATTAAAAAATCTTGATACAGGGCAGAAATGATCTAAAGGCAACAGAATGAAATTTAACAGACAAGTGCAAATCTCTTCATTTAGGAAACAAGATCACATACACAGATATATGATGTGGGATACCTACTTGCAAAAAAGATCTTGGATTAGTAATTGATTGCAAACTGAATTCATTGCCAAGAGTGTGATGTGGCTGCAAAGAAGGCAAATGCAATTTTAGGTTGCATCAACAGATATTTAGTTTCCAAATCACAGGAAATAACCCACTCCATTCTATTTGATTATCTCCACTTCAAATACTAGGTTTACTTCTGGGCAATATACATTAAGGATTCAGAGAAATTGAACAGATTCCAAAAAGGTCAATGAAGAGGATCAGGGGACTAGACACTAAGGCCTACAAAGAGAAATTAAAGAAGCTGGACATTGTTTGGGTGTGGGGGTTGGACTAGATGACTATAAGATCTCTTCCAACTCTGTTAACCTGTATGTATCTTTAGAAAGGATAATTGAGGAGAGATCACACACTGTTCTCTTATGTTCCACAGAGCAATAAATTTCATAACAAGATGGCAGATCCTGATTGAACTTTAAAAAAAAATATTAACAGAAACAGTATTTGATAATGGAACCAATTACCCAGGAAGTCAATGAATACTTCAGCTTCAGCCATAACACAAACAATAGATACAAACTCAAGGTTAATTGCACCAAACTTGATTGCAGGAAATACGACTTCAGCAACAGAGTGGTCAATATCTGGAATACTCTACCTGACTCTGTGGTTTCTTCCCCAAACTCCAAAAACTTTAACCTTAGACTGTCTACTATTGACCTCACCCCTTTCCTAAGAGGTCTGTAGGGGGCGTGCATAAGCGCACCAATGTGCCTACGTCCCTGTCCTATTGTTTTTTGTTTTTTATTTTTCTTATATGTATCCATGTATTCATAACTATGTTTTTATTTATACCTATTGTAAGCAATTGACAAAAATAAATAAATAAAATAAATAAAAGTTGGTGGGCACCTGTTCATTGGACATTTTAAGGTGGAATCTAGGCAGTCTTCTGTTTTGGATATATTAATTTGAATTCCTAAATTAAGAGGCAGTTGGACTCAGTGGCTTAAGTGAACCTATTTTTTCTTCTTCTGTTCAGTCATGTTCAGTTCTCACAGACTACCTGCTCAAGTCCCTGAAGTTTTCTTGGCAGGGTTTTTCAGAACTGGTTTGTCTTTGCCTCCTTCCTAGGACTGAGAGAAAATAACCAGCTCAAAATCAGCCAGCTGACTTCATGCCTAAAGTGGGACTAGAATTTATAATCTCCCAGTTTCTAGTCTGATGCCTTAATCACTAAATCAAACTGGCTCTCAAGTGACCCTTAAAACCAGACAAACAGAAAAGCCTTCTTCACCAACCAAGCTAACCTACTGTGACTCTTTTGCCATCAGATGCAGTGGCTTTATTTCAGATGGATTTAACAGAAGGTAAAAAAAAATCAGGGAGAGAGATAAATAGAACATCTATGTTTTATGCATTTTTAGAAGGCGAGATGTTGAATACTACATAGATCTGAGAAGTAGACGACCATGACCTCTGTTTACCTGCAATTCAAATGCCTGTTTCACAGTCTTCAGCCCCTGCAAATTTGGTATCACGAAACAGAATTCCCTTCCACATATAGATTGCAATCAGAAGTCTATTCTGACAATTGCTTCCAATTTACAACTACTCCATTTTAAATTCATGTCTATAGATTCTCATGCACTACATTGTTCAGTATTGTAATGAAATCTAATTTTTCCATCAACAATTTTAGGACTTGGGACCCAATGGAACAATTTTTAAACCTTAAAACTGTTGTTTATTCACCATATCATGCTGTATACCAGACCTTCAGAAATTATAAGGGGAGGTTTATCATAGTAAGATGATGAGAAGGACTTGTCCTTTTAAATGCTCAGAACTTCAACACTTTTCAACTCCTAAAATTTTATGGAGACGTATCTGGGCTTCTAAATTCCATCCGATTCCACAAAATATAAATATGTTACAATAATTTAGTGATTTATCCATTATACATAAGAAGAAACAGAAGCTTTGGAAAAATAACGCATGGTTCCTCTGTGGATCCAAAGTGAATTGCTCATCTCCAAAAAGAAGTTTTAAATATGCATATTTTTTCATTTCATTTATTTGTATCCCACCTTTATTATTTTAACAAATAATTCAAGGCAGTGAAAATATCCAACCCACCTTCCCCCTCTTATTTTCCCCACCCTATGTGATAGGTTGGGCTGAGAGAGAGTGACTGTCACTCAGCTGAGTGGTTTTCATGACTAAGGCAGGACTTGAATTCATGCTCTCCCACTTTGTAGCCTGGTATCTTCATTACTACACCAAACTGGCTCTAGTGACAATATACTCTATATTGCTTGAATATCTCTTTGTATTCATACATTCTTCGGTTAGTCAGATGCACTGAACTCAGTTTGGCTGATTCAGAAAGATTTCAGGGATGCCAAACTAAAATAGGCTTTCCTGAAATGGAGTGAATTCAGAACTGAAATATACAGAGTTCAGAATACATTCAGAGGATCTATTATGGAAAACCAGCTTTATTTTACCTGAATAGACCAGAATATAAAATTCAATGAACTAATCAGAACACAATAGCTCCACTTCACACCAACCAAACCAGTCAATGTGTCTTTCATGAAGCATACTTTTCTCAGTCAGTTTCTTATATAAGGAGAATGAGGAAAGAAAAAAAAAGATGGTATGATTTTTATTTTAGTAAGGATGCAAACTATTTTTATTAAAAATAAATTGTTTTAGATTTCTGGTTTTATTTATTCATCAAATTTATATAGCTTCCCATCTCACAATCATGTGACTGAGCAGTGTGCAACAAAGTTAGAAAAGTTTTAGCTCCTTGGAAGACTTGTAACAGCGTAAACTTTGCTGTTTTGTGAAATATGGGCTGCTTGCTAACTGTCCTGGACATTCATCCACCAAATGTTCCCAGAGTTTCAAAAGCCAGATTGCAAATGTTATATATTCCCTAGAAGCTATGTAATTTGTATAACCACTTATGTAATCATTTGGTTAGGCAAATTAATTACAGATACCTAATTTACAACAATAAAAAACCCACAATCCCTTTTCCTTCATTTACATAACTCTCGACAGCACACTAGGGAAAATACATAAATATGCGTATATTACAGATGTCTGAAAGACTGCAAAGAATATAAGTATCATTTTATAAAACCTTTTACAGTAAATTTAAATTATTAAAGGCCTGGAGACTAAAACATATGAAGAATGGTCTTTCCTCTGGTGTGCCTGGGCAGCTGCTGGAGAGAGATGGGCTCGTTTCAGCGCCTGGAGCCCAGATGTACTCACTTCCCCCAAGCATTTCTTTGCCTACCTGATTTCCAGCTCTGTC